TTAGAGGGTTGCCTATTCCGGGAGCCCAGAGAGCGATTCCAGAAGACAGATCGAGTTGCAGGGAAACTTTTATTGGTTCCGCAAAAGATTCCCTGTTAGCTAGCTATAAACGAACGACACCGTGGACGCTCTAGCTAGGGGAACGGATCAAGCACAGCACACAGAGCAGTCGCGCGTTGCAACCGAAGCGAGCGCCAAGCAAAAATGGCGATGAGCAAGTAAAGCATTCGAACTCAGCAAGCAGTTCAACAAACCACACCGGTTGCCTAAGTGTACAATTATAGAATTTTGGTTAGAATTTTACACAAGCAAACCGGGGAATCTCCAGACTGCTACATAGCCCTCTCCCAGAAGGGACTGTGTAAGCAGTCCTTCGATCTACGTGAGGACTGTCCGTCGCCGGCCAGCCTTCTGCGAGACCAGGTTGTGAAACCCGATGCAGCTGCTGGGGGAGAACCATGCAATCGGACCCTAGCGGGCTCCCACCCGTGTCCTCCCTACGGTGTCGAAACGGTAAAAAAACTGTTTGTGGGGGGGACAGTTAGTAAAGTTCACGTAGGCGGTTGAACTGGAAGTTCGTTCCACTTGCAGTTGACGTGCGGGGATCCAGCGGAAAGTGAAACCGAGGGGCAACCAACCGACGGTGTATATGGAAAGCAAAACGAAAAAGCAGCATGAATGCATGGCCATACACAAAAGAGTGCAAAGCGAAAAACGTGCAAAGCTGTTTTTGGGTTTTCAAAAGATTTTGCTCTTTTTTGGTAGTTTCAAAACGTTTTGGTCTTTTTTTGTGGATTTTCAAAAACGTTTAGTAAGGGCAGAAAATTTCTAAGGCACGTTCTACGTAAAATAGTAAGTGCGAACGAAGTCCGAAAAACGAACCTTAGGTTTGAGCTTCCTACCGCGTCGATTGAGTGTAGGGCGAGTAGGGGTGCTGTCGGTCGAGGTTGTCGGTTCTGCTGGAGCGGACTGACTCGTCTGAGGTTGCGGTGCCAGCTGTGATGGCACAGGCTGTGAAGGTGCTTGCTGCACCGAAGAGTCAGACTTGCTGAAGAATGCTGGCTTGAGTCGATCAATGGTGATCGCCTCAGTGGTGTTGCGTCGTGGCTTGTCGATGTAGGGATCAGCTTGTTGGGCAGTAGCCATAGTGGATAGATCAATGTTGGTGCTAGGCGATAAGCTGATCTGTTGAATGCGTGAAAATGCATCCGCGACGGGATTGAGAGCACCTGAGACATGACGTACGTCTGTCGTAAACTGAGAAAGGTAGTCTAGGTGTCTAGTTTCCAGCGGCGAGTACTTGTCCGTTGCGCCATTGATTGCGGAGATCAATGGCTTGTGATCGGTGAAGACTGTAAAATTTCGACCTTCGAGATAATGACGGAAATGTCGGATACCTAGGTAGATAGCTAACAGTTCCCTACCGAAGGTGCTGTATCGCGATTCGGCAGGTTGTAAGCGCTTTGAGAAGAAACCTAGAGGTATCCATCGACGGTCGATGAGTTGTTGAAGAACTGCACCGACGGCAGTGTCAGAGGCGTCAGTTGTCAGAGAGAGTGGTGCAGACGTGTCTGGATGGGCGAGAAGCGCTATGTTGGAGATAGCGTCTTTGAGCTTCTCAAAAGACAGTCTAGCCTCGTCTGCAAAGTGAAAAGACCGTTGTTTACTGCGAAGCAAGTCAGTCATTGGTTGAACAATGCTCGCGCAGTTAGGTATAAAGCGTCTGTAATAGTTGACCAGGCCAAGGAATCGGCGTAACTGCTTGAAGGAACTGGGAGCAGGATAGTCCTTCAGTGCCTGGATTTTGTCTGGCAGGGCTTCGATACCAGAGGCAGATATGCGGTGGCCAAGAAAGTCGATGGAACTTTGGCCAAGCTCGCATTTATCGGGGTTGACGGTAACCCCATGCTGCGTCAAGCGTTGGAAGAGTGCGTCGAGGCGACGAAGATGTTCTTCATCAGAAGAGCTCGCGATGAGTATGTCATCTAAATAAGGGTAAACGCCTTCGAGTCCTCGCGTTACCTCATGAATGAAACGCTGAAAAGTTTGGGCAGCGTTGCTGAGGCCGAAAGGCATTCTGAGGTACTCGAATAGGCCAAATGGCGTGATGACTGCTGTTTTAGCAATGTCATCTGGCGCGACAGGTATCTGATGATAGGCGCGAACTAAGTCGACTTTGCTGAAGATAGACTTGCCAGCTAGAGCTGAGGTCAAGTCGTGCATGTGCGGAATAGGGTATTTATCCGGGACGGTAACTTTGTTAAGTGCCCTGTAGTCACCACAGGGGCGCCAGTCACCGGATTTCTTCGGCACCATGTGTAATGGTGATGCCCATGGACTTTTGGACGGGCGGATGATTCCCAGTTCGAGCATTTGCTCGAATTCCGCCTTAGCAGCTTTGAGCTTGTCCGGGGCTAGTCGGCGAGGGCGGGCCGAAACAGGTGGGCCCTTAGTGCAAATGTGATGCGTGACGTTTGACGTCACAGGAGGCAAGTCGTTCAGGACGCGAACGAGTTTAGGGTGCTTGCTGAAAAGCTCTAGAAAAGGCTGTGAAGCTTGAGGTAGGACACGAATGGGAGTGATAGCAGCCACGTTGGCGCTAGTCCCGATAACACTGAGCTGTGTCCTAGAGTCAATAAGCTTCTTCCGTTTAGCGTCGACGATGAGATCGAAGCGTTGAAGAAAGTCTATGCCTATGATGGCGAAAGGCACAGCAGCGATTATGAAAGGCCAGCGAAAGGTTCGCCGGAGGCCTAAGTTGAGCGTTAGCAGCTTTTCGCCGAAAGTTGCGATTGGTGTGCCATTGGCGGCACGCAGCTTGGTCGGCGATGGTGAGACGACCTCATCTGAGCTACGGGGTATAACGCTAACTTCGGCACCAGTGTCGACTAGAAACTCGGTGCCGGAAGTTAAATCCCTAACGCGGATGAGGCGACTTTGGTGTTGGCCAGTCGCGTCCGTCGCCGTTACGGACCGGCCGCGAAGTTTTCCCTGCTTCTCGTCGAAGTTGCAAGGCTTTACACATTTACGAGCTGCGGTACCAAAACGCTGATGGTACCAACAGCTAGCTTGCCTGTTGCTAGACTGAGAACGTTTGCAGGGCGATTTGGATCGGCTATGACGACGACGGTCCATAGTAAGCTGCTGGACCTGGCGACTAAGTGTCGCAACTTGTGCTTGCAGGGCTTCTATAGTTGACTGTAAGCCAGTGATAGAAGTGCCCTGGGACGCGACGGCATGGACCTTGCTGGCGTTGGCCTGTGGCTGTGATCGTTCAATAACTCGATCCGCTAAGTCTGCTAGTTGAGTGAGCGGAACGGAGCTCACTGTAGCGAGAATCGCTTGTGTGTTTTCCGGTAGCCGTTGTAGCCATAGTTCGCGAAGTAAAGTCTCGTCCATGGTTGATGAACCAAGGAGTTGCTGCATCTCGCGTAGCAGGGTTGAGGGCAGTTTGTCGCCCAGCTGCAGATCCCTGAAAAGCTGCTGCAGGCGAACTTTCTCAGAGGGCATAACACGCTTAATCGTGGCTTCCTTGAGAGCCTCATAGCGGTTTTCGGTCTGAGAAATGATGACGTCACGAACCTGCATTGATATCTCCTTGGGGAGATAGGACAGGAGCTTGCAATACTTCGCGTAGTCGGAAGTGATTCTGTGGTTATAAAACTCAGCCTCAAGATGAGCGAACCACAAAACAGGATCCATGTCCCAAAAAGGTGGAACGGAGAGAGATACAACACTAAGCATAGACTCTACCTTATGGTCTACAGATTCCATGATTTGAAAAAATGACGCGAAAAAATAGGCTACCGTATGCAAAAATAAAACCGGAAAATATGAAAAATAAATGGAACGAGCTCACCGGAGAAAAGTTCGAAATATCCGGCGTTGAGATTGTTCCGGATCCGGGGTCACCAATTTAGAGGGTTGCCTATTCCGGGAGCCCAGAGAGCGATTCCAGAAGACAGATCGAGTTGCAGGGAAACTTTTATTGGTTCAGCAAAAGATTCCCTGTTAGCTAGCCATAAATGAACGACACCGTGGACGCTCTAGCTAGGGAAACGGATCAAGCACAGCACACAGAGCAGTCGCGCGTTGCAACCGAAGCGAGCGCCAAGCAAAAATGGCGATGAGCAAGTAAAGCATTCGAACTCAGCAATCAGTTCAACAAACCACACCGGTCGCCTAAGTGTACAATTATAGAATTTTGGTTAGAATTTTACACAAGCAAACCGGGGAATCTCCAGACTGCTACAGTGGTTGTGTCTTTGTGCCATAGCTTTTTGTAGGGCCTGGGCATGGCTACCAGGCGGATAGTTGGTGGTCAGGGGAATCACTGCGTTGATGTAGCGCGGGCTGTTCATAGTTTTATTTTGTTGCAGTGACTGGTAGAACGTCCTCGGTTTTTGAGAGCCATGGTATTTGTTGTATTCCTGGGGCTTAGTAGCATTGTTGGGCGTCTCGAGTAGGTAAGGCTTGCGCAGTGGTTGGGCCGGTTGGGTCGAAATCTGCGTGGAGGGCGGCGTTTGGGATCGGAAGGATTTCGATCTCACGCGATCCACTGGTGCAGATGTTGTTGTGGGCTTATCGGCTGTCCATTTGTGCCATGATGTCATTGCCTGGGTACGGTTATCTTTGTTATGGTGATGCATCAGCGGGGAGTGCATCCCATGACGAGGCTGCCGTGTTTCAGCGGTTGACCTTTGTTGGTGGTCGGTCGTGTTGCGAGGGTGGTTACGACTTTGTACGAGGGGGAAGGAAGGGAGTTGATCATCGGGAAGTCTACATTGATAGATTCTGAATCGGTGTCACTCATGTCGGAGGCGTTATTGACTGTCTCGGCTTCTTGTATCGTTAGCGGGGGAGAATCTGGAACGTTAGTTGACTTTTTGTTTATTAGGGCTGTGGGGCTTGAGTCGGGATGTAATGCTGTCGTAGACGCGTGACGCAGGGGGTTAGATCCAGATCCACGTTAGTGCTTGTAGTAGGGCAAGCAGTTGCTCTGACAACCGGCACTGAATCATGAGGCTGTTGTCTTGCTTTGGTATTAGTAGCCGGTGGGAAAGCTCTTTGCAACGGCGTTAGATCAGGCTTTATAAGAATAGGCCCAATGTTTGCGTTTGTTCTTAAGGTAAATCGATTTGCTATGAAGCTTGTAGCCAGTTCTGGAGTTTTGAATGCGATAAGGATAGGGCAATTGCGACTGATCTTCGATTTTCTGAGCCGCTTACTCACGCACATGTCAGGAGGGATGTTACACATGGACGTAAGTAGGCGGGTGACTTTCTCCAAGGGACGTTTGTCAGGAACGTTGAAGACGATCACGTTTCGGGCACGGCGGGTTCGCTCGTTTATCTCAGTAGTGATGGTAGTAAGAAGGGCGCCGGCATCTTTGAGCTCGTCAGCGTTGCCATTTGTCCTTATTCCTGCGAGTTGGGCCAATGGCATAAGTTTTGCTAGCTCTGTTTTGGTAACAGCCATTTCCTTTTTGAGAGCAACCATTTCAGTTGCGAGTGCACTGATTTTGTTAAGTGCATCTTGCAAAGGGTCTATAAGAAGGACACTGCAGGGGCGCAGTTTATTCAGTTTGTCTTTTGTAGCAGGACGTTTGGTCGCCCTATCCGCCTTTGCAGTGCATGAGGCACAGCTGTGATCAACAGAAACTGCGGTATTCGAGTGAGTACGTCTGCGTTTGACCCGGAGTTTGGCTCGGGCAGCTTTACCTTTTATTCCATTGTTGTTACTCATTATGGAATAGCACGGCTTCATAATTCGTGTTCCAGGAACACTGTTTTGCCGTATATAGGATCTAAAAAGCTTAGAGTATAGCACGTTTAGATATCGAGACAACGCGTCTAATTATTCTAATAAATAGCTGCTATATGGCGGAATAACCAACAAAAGGTCGAAAACGCACAGTTTCTAACTTCGCGTGGTCAAGTCATTGTGCCGAGGATATCCGGAAGATGCTATCCAACCCACGGACATCAAACGCTTATGCTGTACAGTCCTGTCGCTTACAGTCTAAAATGCTGCCGCAACTTCACAAACACAAGCTACATCCCTAGGCAATTACCTACGTAAACACATACATGCACTCATTCATTTTCACGCCAAACGCACTTTTGTGCACTGTTGATCACACTATGTTAGCTTAAGATGATCATGCATATGAAGGTGTGCCTTGCATTGTCGACAATAAAAGTTGATAAGTTGCCTTGGAGCAAAGGGAATTTGACATTAGTCACGTTTTTTTTCAGGTGTTTATTGCCACACTGATTTCCACAACCGATAGCAAAACTGCTAGATTATTATAGCAGAATGAACTTGCGACTACCTAAATCTCACATCTATCGAATGCCTACTCTTATGCTTGTCAGATGTATTGCCTGGTATGGATCAGTTGTGTGCATGTTCACGTGTCTATTTCTGTTCCTACGTTCTCTGCTATGAGGCCCTCACTGTATGACTTAACGTCCAATTTCCAACTACTCCAAGTACCACCTGGTTTTCAATTCTATGCACACGCACCCTTAAGTTCAAACTTATTGACAGAGCATTGGTTCCATTGCTTTGAGCGATTTGTATGATTCTCACAGATTGTACAGCTAGATAGCTCCTACCTAACCGCAAAACGTCTTCATTGGCGGACGCATACTGTTGGATTACTTTTATTCTTACCATAAGCCTTGGGTAGTACAATTTCCTTTTGTTGTTTGTTTTTGCACGTCCAAACTCAAGAGGGACGGTAGTGAACCTGCTCGCAAATCTTTAGCATATTTTTGAGTTTGGAAATCGTTAAGGTACTGCCTCTTTTTATACAGAATTTGTAAACATAGCACCGCTGTCTCAGGTACTGACTTGGTCTTTTCTTGCATATTCCGGCGCGATACGCGGCGCCCAAAATTCCAAACGCTTTTCAGCGCTATGGTTTTTGCAATCCAACCTTTGATGTGCCAGTTCGAAGTCAATTGGCATCTGTCACGTGATTGCCACTAAAGAGTACGGGTACAGTTATGGGTTGACCATGCTTTGATACAGGTGTTCCGTTTTAACTCGTTCATAACTCTCTGCACATCAAAATGTCTGGCTCAGCGATCCACTAGAGAAGAAGCGCTCACGAGTTACTTGTATGTTTTCAGTCCTATTGAACTTGAAGTTACACAACCAAACGGTGAGGTACCTGTGGTAGATTAATTAGGATAAGGAGCATCCGGCTTTATTCCTCTGGGTAGCTTTCTTCAGAGACTGTTATAAAGCCACCAAAAAGGAACGTTTGTAAACTGGAGCTATCAGAATGCATCTGCAACGATAAAACACCACGTAGGCTTATACTGAGACCGAAATGAAACTATTAATAAACGCGTTACTATCATTGGCCGTATAAAAAGCGGTTGAAAGCGCCTTCAACTCGCCTCACCAATAGACCAGAATATTTATAGTGAGCCGTAGTTAAGATATCGATGTCTCATTATCAAATTTTCCGCTTCGTAAGAAGGATGACACTATCGATCTTGTTATACGGTAAATAATTTCTAGCGGCTAATAGATGACAGCTCGTGCGTATCTGTAACATTTCCACGTTCAGTAAAACTCCAAATGTGCTCTGATACAAAAGTCAAAAACAGCTGAATAATTCGCTTATTACTGCTTAACATGCTGCAATCTCAGTTTGTGTGACTTTATTTTGCGTTACCGACGCCCAAATAAGACATGGTTCACTCGTAGTAGGCTACAACAAACGTGGGGGCACACCAATACACAGGTTTATACGTAGCACGCAGTTTCAGGTTTACGGGTTTGACGGGGTGTATATAAATTACTTATATCCTAAAAGCACCAGTACCAATCGTTGTTAAGTGGACAGCTATGGCAGACCTAGTTGAGAATTTGAATGCGCGCCATTATCTGCTTAATGCGAGTATTACGATTTACATGGGCCGGATCTAGCAACCACTACCAAAGCTAATCACTCGGTTAGCAATTTCCCACCGACTTCGAACATAACGGCTCCAGCAAGATGGTGGCGGATTGTGTGAACTTAATGAACACTCACAAGCCAAGTTGGCGAGCGTATTGAACAGCTCCGTCGAACAGCACGCTTGAGAAGTATCGTTTGATGAGAAATGAGTGCAAGCTACATCTTAGGTTGGCCCGGCTTCAGTATGAAAAGGACTTAGCTGATACCGCCTCCAAAAAAATCCCAAGCAATTCTTCGCATGCGTTAAACGACGCTGTGGTGCAAACTCGCCCATATCACCATTGCTTCGAGGAGATGGGACACATGCCTTTAGCGACTATGACAAGGCATGCGTGCTTGGTGAGCAGTACTCAAGCGTCTTTGTCCGCGCAACGAATAATCCATGCAGTGAACAAGCTTCAAGAATCACTGAGGACTGTTGTCTGGATGAAATTTCTGTATCTGAATCCCAAGTTCTCCGGTTGCTAAAAGAGTTAAACCCAACTAAGGCTTCCGGGCCAGGTACTCTTCATCCAAATTTGTTGAACGAATTGGCAGTGGAACGCGGTGGACCTCCGACTTGTGTGCTTCCGAAGTCACTCAACAGCTAAGCCTTGCCTACCGGATGGAAGGAGGCTGTCGTCTGCCCGATTTTCAAGTGCTTTGACAAAGGCCTACCGGCTAATTGCAGGCCTGTCACCTTGACTAGCGTGGTCCTTAAGTCACTTGAAAAATTAGTACGAGATATAGTGGAGAGACATTTAAGTATGCTTAACCTGTTTGTATCAAGTAACATGGTTTTCGCAAAGGTTGTTTG